GTGAATCAGTATTTTGCTAATAATCAGTCTTCCAATCCAAATAGTATATGTGTTACTCAAAGTAGAGGGCCATAATTATTCTATTTGTGTGTGTATGATTTGCTCACTTTATTTGACAATCAGTGGTTAGTTCTTGTCCACAATGACTTTATCAATAGATTTTTGAAAGTGGTGACCGGCACATAGGTCATCAATGTATAGAGCTTGTGAATGTTCAGCTTCATCATGTTTTCAAAACCACATATGGGTACCCATGAGATATTGCTTGTTCCTTTGTTCCAGACAGCTTTGTTCTGCCTGGTGTCAAGGCGCACATCTAGAATTCCCACCTCCTTCATGGCAAATTTCTGGATCTCTTTGAGTGCCTGAGGGCCACGCTTCTTGAAGCCCACTTCACGGATGTGCTTCTGAATGTTGCTGGTGTATCCTTGGGTCACCTTATCGATGGCAGGATGATTCTGAATGTGGCTGGTGTATCCTCGGGTCACCTTATCGATGGCAGGATGATTCTGAATGTGGCTGGTATACCCTCAGGTCACCTTACTGATGGCAGGATGATTCTTTTTCTTGCCACCCATCTTTGTGGAGCCATTCTGCTGGACCCAAGTTAGAAATGAAGAGCATGAAAGATTGTCTCCATTTGGTTTTTTTTTAGTTTCTCTGAGCATGTTTTGTGGTCATCACTGTGCAAGTCTTGCATACTTTTTGTCAAATTTATCCTTAAGCATTTCCTATTTGTTATTGTAAATGGTTTTTTTGTTTTGTTTTGTTTTGTTTTGTTTTTTCTTAGATGGAGTTTCGCTCCTGTTGCCCAGGCTGGAGTGCAGTGGCATGATCTTGGCTCACTGCAAGCTCCGCCTCCCGGGTTCAAGCGATTCTCCTGCCTCATCCCCCCAAGTAGCTGGGATTACAGGGATGTGCCACCACGCCCGGCTGATTTTGTATTTTTAATAGAGACAGGGTTTTTCCATGTTGGTCAGGCTGGTCTCAAACTCCCGACCTCATGTGATCTGCCCGTCTTGGCCTCCTAAAGTGCTGGGATTACAGTCGTGAGCCACTGCACCTGGCCAGTATTTTTTTTTTTTAATGTTCAGTTTCTGTTTGGTCATTGCTGGTCTTAGAAATATAACTGATTTTTATATTTTGACTTTGTTTCTATAGCCTTCTTAAACTCACTTATTAATTTTAGCAGTTTTTTTTTTGCAGGTTCCATAGGGTTATCTATAGAGCTGATCACATCATCTGTGGATAAAGACAATTTTATATTCTTCCTTTCTAATCTGTATGCTTTTTATTTCTTGTAAAAATTTATTTATTACATTGCTAGAATTTCTAGTGTAATGTTGAATAGAAGTGATGAGTAGACATTGCTGGCCTTGGTCCTGGTCTGAGGGTGAAAGTAGCCTTTTGCCACTAGCCAGGGTGTTAGATACAGAGTTTTCATATGTCCCCTTTGTTGCACCGAGGAAGTTACCTTGTATGTCTGTATTCCCGAGAGTTTTTAAAAATCAGGAATGGGTGGTTTTTGTTCCAGTGCTTTTTTGTATCTATCATACAGTTTGTTTTTTAAGTCTGTTAACCTGGTGAATTACGTTGATTTTTTTTGAATGTTAAATCCATCTTTCTTTCCTGGAATATATCCCAATCGGTCACGATGTGTTTTCCTTCTTATGTATTATTCTGATATGTCATTACTATATATTGTTAAGAATTTTGGCATCTATATTCATGAGGGATATTGCTTTGTAGCTTTCTTTTCTTACAGCGTCTGTGGTTTTGTTCTGTTTTCTCAGAGACTAGATTTTCTGAGAATTTTTTTCTGAAGAGTTTATGTAGAAGTACTGTTCTTTCCACATTAAATGTTTGGTAGAATTCAGCAATGAAGATGTGAAGACATCTTTGTGGAGTTTTTCACATTTTTTCTTTTTATTTATTTTTAATTTTTAATGTATTTGTAGGATGTGTTTTCCTTTTTATTTATTTTGTAAGGTATGTGTGCCATTTCTTTCTGATACTTTATAATTAGAGGTTGAAACTGCTTTACAGTTGACATCCATATACTCGCCCCAAAGGTATATTATGCTGCATTTGCTTTATCACATATCTATTCATTTATCCTCCCCTCTATCCATGCCTCAATATTATTAATGCATTTTAAAATAATTTATAGACAAAAGAACATTTCTTTTTCAAATAGATTCCCAGGTTTAGGGTTTTTTTTACAGTTCTTTCTTTCTCTCTGTCTTTTCTTTTCCTTTCTTTTCCTTTTTCTTTTCTTTTCTTTTCTTTTCTTTTCTTCTTTTACTCTGTTGCTCTGGCTAGAGCGCAGTGCGCAGTGCAGTGGCATGATCACAGCTCAGTGCAGTGCAGTGGCATGATCACAGCTCACTGCAACCTTGGACTCCTGGGCTCAAGTAATTCTCTTGCCTTAGCCTCTTGAATAGCTAGGACTACAAGTGTGTGCCACCATGCTTGGCTCATTATTTTATATATATATATTTATATTTTTATATATATATATATACAGAGAGAGAGAGAGAGAGAGAGAGAGATCTTGTCATGTTGCCCAGGCTAATCTTGAACTCCTGGCCTCATGGGATCCTCCAACCTTGGGCTCCCAAAGTACTGGAATTACAGGGATGAGCCACCCTGTATCCACATAAGGATCCACTTATGTAAGTCAAATCCTTTTTAAGATACAGATCATTACCATTATCCAGAAAGTTCTCCCATACTACTTCTCAGACAGTCCCAACCCATACCTCCAAAGGCAAGTGCTGTTCTGATTTTCTTCCGTAAAGTAGTTATGCTTTTTCTATAACTTCATATAAATGGAATCATATTGTACATATGTGTGTCTCTGTGTGTGTGTGTGTGTGTGCACGTGTGCGTGTGTGTGTGACTTCTTTTGTTTGGAATAACATTTTTGAGGTTGGTATTGTTGCCTGTTTCAGTAGTTCTCTCTTTTTAATACTTTGTAGTATAACTTAATATAATGTCATATTATTGCTTTATGCCCTACTATATGGTCAATTCTCTTAAATGTTGTTAGTGTTCCTGAGAAGATTGGATGTTCTCTTTTCATTGGTTTTATGTTTCTCTGTCTTTTCAACCAACCTAGTTAATATGCTATTTGTTTCTTCTTTATTCATTTAAAAATCTATTGTTTCATATTTACACTGTCATTCTTCATATTTTAAAGTTATTTTTAAATTTAAGTATAACAAAATTGATTTTTTGTGGCATATAACTTCATAGGTTTTGACAGATGCATATAGTTGGGTTTCCACACCAAAGTCAAGATGTACAACAGTTCCATCAACTCCCCAGAAGCCCTCATGTTGCCCCATTATTAACCCTTCCATCTTCCTCCTGTCAGTGGAAATCGCTGATTTTTCATCCCCTCAGTCTTGTCCTTTCCTGGATGCCATAAAAATTTTGTTTCATTTAGCAAAATGCATTAAGATTACCTATGTTGTTGGCATGTATTAATAATCGTTCTTTTTTATTGCTGTATGAATGTATCATAGTTTGTTTCTATATTCACTGGTTGAAAGACATTTGGGTATTTTCTATATTTTGGCAATTAGGAATGAAACTGCTATAAACATTTGAGTACAGGTTTTTGTGTGAACATAAGTTTTAATTTCATTTGGCCAAATACCTAGGATTGGGATTGTTGTATTTCATGTTCATGTAATTTTAACTTTATATGATATGGAACGTTTTAAACTGTAGACTGTGTCTTTTAAACTCTGTTCAGGGTATCAGTTTCATCTTGAATGAGACTTGATAGTTTTTGTCTTTCACAAAATGTATGCATTTCATCTGTTGAATTTGCAGGCCTACAGTTGTTTCTTAGCTTCGCAGATTACCTTTTTAATATACATGCAATCAGTAATAAAGACATGTCTCTCCTTCATAGTGTTTGAAATTTGCGTCTTCTTTCTGATCACTGTGGTTAGAGGTTTATCGATTTTATAATCTCTAAGAACCAAATGTTTTGATTCTTTGATTTCTCTCTGTTAACTTTCTATTTTCTATTTAGTTGACTTCTCTGATCTTTATTATTTTCTTTCTTCTGCTTACTTGGGTTTAGTACTTTGAGTTTAACATAATACATACAAAATTTAATTTCTCTCTGGAAGTAAATTGACAGATTTTGAAACGTCCAGATTCCTGGGGAATGTGTGTATGTGGTATTCGAGAGAAAACGGAAGACAGAGCTTCAGAGATAATGAAATTGTGGTATTTTTAATTAGTAGAAGAAAGGAGGATTTTCTTTTGGATATTGATCTTTCTGCCTGTTCATCTAACTTTCTTGCAAACTCTGAATGAAGTGTATCTGTAAATTATTAAAGGTGGAATCCCCATGACAAGCATTTGAATGTTTATCCTACACAGAGCCATCTGTGCGAAATACATGGCATCTTTTAAGTTGGGCAAAATACTATCTGGAGGAATCAGATTTCATTCTTGTCTCTACTGTTAGCAGTTACTTAACCTGAAGGATGATATAATGTTTACTTGAATTCAAAATACTCATTTAAGTCTGCAAGTCTTCCCAAATGAGTAACCTCTACCTCAGCTAAGGTATATGGTGTTTCTGGAGTTGTTTTCATTTGGTATGCTGTAGTATATTGGAGTAAATAATTTCTGTAATGTGTGGAGCAGAATTTGTATTCGTGTTTTAGATTGTCTTCCAAAGCCTGAATTAGAATTAAGGAACTATGTTGCTCCACTGTTTGAGCACTCTATTTAAATATTAAAGCAGGTTTGTTTTCCTCTGTAAATAGAAGTAATATTATTTCTGAGAGATGAAATTGGCTTATCTGTTTTGGGTTCTATTTTTAAATGGTTATTTCTTTTGTAGTCCTCAGGAAGAAATATAGGCAGTATTAGAATTGGAGAATTGATGAAGGGGTATGGTATTTATAGAACGATAAGAAAATTATTTTGTTTACTTTTCTAATCACTTAATATTACATTTTATTTTTTAGATCCTGTTTGACCAAACTCAGAGATCAATTAAGGCACAGCTTCAGAACTTTGTTAAAGAGTAAGTCAATTGCAGTGAAGAGGAAAGAAAATTAACTAGTTAATGATCAATCTGCGAATTGGTATCTTTTGGAAGAAGTTATATACCATGAATTATTGAAAATATTGGTGTTTTTATTTGCTTTGTGAAATGTATGCTGCATTTCTTCCTGAATTATTCTATAAGTAGATCAGACTTGATGTCTTTCAGTGAATCACTTCTTCCACAAATACGTGTTCTGGAGGATACTTAGCTAGGATACATAGCTGTAGGTTTAAAAAATATTTTTAATGTAAATAATCTAATTGTTCTTTCACCGTCAAAGAAAACCCCAAAAGTGGATGAAATACTATTAGCTATTGTAGTTGAAACTATGTTTTCCGTTATTTCAGTGTTTCAGTGTGGTGTTTTCTTTGAAGAGAAGATAATGGAATATATGAGAATGAGTCATGAAAGTACATGATTTTTGGACCCTGGTGTGGTGGCTCACACCTGTAATCCCAGCACCCTGGGAGGCCAAGACGGGTGGACCACCTGAGGTCAGGAGGCGAGACCAGCCTGGCCAACATGGAGAAACCCCATCTCTACTAAAAGTACAAAATTAGCTGGGCGTGGTAGCGCATGCCTGTAATCCCAGCTACTCAGGAGACTGAGGCAGGAGAATCGCTTGAACCTGGGAGGTGGAGGTTGCAGTGAGCTGAGATCACGCCATTGCATTCCCACCTGGGCGACAAGAGTGAAACTCTGTCTCAAAAAAAAAAAAAAAAAAAGTACATGACTTTTGTTACTTATGAGTATTTTGTGTCACATTCATCACATTTTCTTTGTGAAATAAAATAGAACTGGAAATTTTAAAAATCAGAAATTTCCAAATTAGGAAAGTTTTTCTTTTTCACATTAATAATACAGTTTTTTCTCTTGATTCCTGGCTGGGAATATATAAAATTACAGATAAAGTTTATTATAATAGAGCTGTACGGTGGTGTTAGATCTCATTAAGATAGTACACTGTTTTTAATAGGTTAGAATTTGTTGTTCTGGAGGTTATGTGTCACAGTTTCTTTTCTTTTCTTTTTTTCTTTTTTGAATATCGAGACGATCTGACTCTGTTACTCAGGCTGGAGTACAGTGGCTTGATCATAACTCACTGTAACCTCGAATTCCTGGGCTGAAGTGATCCTTCTGCCTCAGCCTCCTGAGTAGTTAGGACTACAGGCGTGGACCACTTCTGGCTAATTTTTCTTTTATTTTTTATATTTGTAGAGGCAGATCTCACTATGTTGCTGAGGCTAGTCTGAAACTCCTGGCCTGAAAGCAGTTTTCTTACCATAACCTCCCAAAGCACTGGGACTACAGGCATGAGCCAGTGCACCCAACTAAATTCTTTATAAATTACTTTGTGATAGATTAATACTTAGAATGTCTTCATAGAATGCACACATACAGTTTATGGCTTCTTTCGAGGAGTTGAATGTCTTTCTTACATATGCTTTATTATGATTTTTATAAAATCATTTGTCTTCAAGTTATTTTACCTAGCTCCCTAGTAGAAAAATACAAGCAAAGGGATGTTATATGAGTAAGGTCATTAACGAACCAAGTGTTTCAGATTTGCAGACTATTGAAAGGGATACTGTTATTCTTTGCTGATGTAACGGTTCTTTCAGAAATTGATGTGTTCCAGCCTGGGCAATAATGTGAGGCCACAGAAATAAAAAATAAAGATTAGCCTTGTGTGGTGGCATGTGCCTATAATCCCAGCTGCTTGAAAGGCTTGAGGCGTGAGGATCGCTTGAGCCCAGGACTTTAAGGCTGTAGTGAGCTATGATCTTGCCACAGCATGAGAAATGAATGTTGTTTCTTAGAGTGTGGTCTGTAGACCACCCGCAGTAGTAAAATCACGGGTGTGTCTTAAAAATAAACTCCTCAGATTTCTAGGATTTTTCCTGAAGGCTAAAGAATTATAATCTCTTGGAAAGAGCTCTGGAAATTACATTTTTAATAAGTGCCCTATAGTGATTCTTATGTATAGTACCGTTTACAAATCATTTGGTTAAATAATGGTACGTATCCCTGAATTTGTCTTTAGAAAAACAATTAACTTTTCCTTTATGTTTCTGTAATGTTAACTTGATAATTTATTGTCACCTCAAGTTATATAGATTTAAATAGTGAAATTTTAGCTGACTTCATCAGGTTTTATACAAAATTGAGAAACAGTACATATTTTAGTTTGAAGAGTGAATGTGTTTCAGTGTGAGGTGAAACAAAAAATGGAGGAACATAGGAATTCAATTCTAAATGTTATTTTGCTAAAGTTTTTTGTTTGTTTGTTTGTTTTTTGTTTGTTTTTTTTTTTTTGAGACGGAGTCTTGCTCTGTTGCCAGGCTGGAGTGCAGTGGCGTGATCTCAGCTCACTGCAACTTCCACCTCCCATGTTCAAGTGATTGTCCTGCCTCAGCCTCCTGAGTAACTGGGACTACAGGCATGTGCCACCACACCCAGCTAATTTTTTTGTATTTTTAGTAGAGACAAGGTTTCACTATGTTGGCCAGGATGGTCTCGATCTCTTGACCTCGTGATCCACCCACCTCGGCCTCCCAAAGTGCTGGGATTACAGGCGTGAGCCACTGCGCCCAGCCTGCTAAAGTTTTTTAATGAAGCAAGTTATGAAAGTTTCGCTTTTTCTCTTTTTAGAGATCTTAGAAAATTCAAAGATGCCAAGAAGCAATTTGAAAAAGTCAGTGAAGAAAAAGAAAACGCATTAGTAAAAAATGCCCAAGTACAAAGAAATAAACAACATGAAGTTGAAGAAGCCACCAACATTCTGACAGCAACAAGAAAATGTTTTCGACATATAGCCCTCGATTACGTGCTTCAGGTATGTAGTTTCTTACTGTGTAGGTTTTCAGACAGTGCTTACTAAATAGGTTGTTACTTTTGAGTGATTGCCCTAAGAAGAGTAAATAAATACTTTTACTTTGAGCTTAAAGTTAAAACATAATCTTTCGTGGAAAATTTCCGTCTGTGTGGCTATAGTGTATCTATGTGTGTATGGATATATATTCCTTGGGTTCTGAGTTCTGCCTCTTTTCTCTTAACTTTATATTCCCCATTTAAAAATGTTAAAAATCTTTTTAGTTGCTATATTTTGTTCTCTGGAGTTGTTGTATCAATTTAATTATCTTTTATACCATTTTATTATTTCAGTAAATTTAGGGGTACAAGTGGGTTTTTGGTCACATGATGAATTGCATAGTGGTGAAGTGTGAGCTTTTTTTGTATCTGTCACTCCAGTAGTATACATTGTACCCAACAGGAAATTTTTCATCCCTCACCTCCCTCCCAACCTTCCCCCCTTTCTGAGTCTCCAGTGTGCATTATACCACTCTGTATGCCCCTGAAAACCTACAACTTAGCTTCTACTTATAGGTGACAACACATGACATTTGTTTTTCTGTTCCTGTGTTACTTCCTTTAGGGTAAGGGCCCCTAGTTCCTTCTAAGTTGCTGTAAAAGACATTTATGGTGTTCAAGTTTTTACTGGCAATAGGGAAAATATAATTTTCAGTAATTGTGAGTGATAATAACATCTTTACACTTCTTATTTCTTTAGATTAGATTCTTAGAGGTACTAAGGTTCACCATATTGCCAAATGAAAAATCTTTCTAGAAGTAGTGTTACCATATTTTTGCATTAGGTGCTGCTTTTAAAAACTAGAAATCTGTATTTGGTAAATTGCTTGGTGATCTTCCAGTCTAATTTATAACTGAAACTAGTTTGAATGTGATAGGTCTCCAAAGGTATTTGAAACATGGGAAAAATGAAGGCATATTACGTTGCTTGTTTCTATATATCATGGAATTTAAAGCCAAAAAACCTTGAATGCTTAGGGAATTACCTCATATAAATCTTCTTTTCAGAACAGTAGTGGTTGTCTTCAGAGATTGGTTACTTCACAATGATCGCAGAGTATTTCTTAAGAAAAAATACCAAATAGAAATTAGTAATTAAAAATTACTTAGGTAACTTTGCAAAACAGTAGAAAATTAACTAAGTTTTTTTCCATTAAGTTCCTCTTCAGTAAGTGGGAAGTTAAAGTTTTAAAATTAATTGACTGTACTTTTGGAGGAAAGGTTGCTAGATGGGAGTAGGCTATTTCCTGGGTCCTGTACCTACCTCACATTGTACCATTTTCTGCTGTAGTGTGAGTACTCGCCCTGCCTAACCCACTAAAATGGCTCATGCAGAGGTTTTATTCGCTAGACATGTTTCAGTTTTTAACGAACTTGGCTATTCTGTTTTACTCCTTCTTGAAACATTCTTTTATCTTGATTTATCTGAAACTGCTTTTAGGTCTTCCTCCCAACTTCTGTTTCTTTCCCAGTTCTGTCTTGGGCCTCACTCCTTTGTCTGCCTTTGCACTTTCCTTTCTAGTGTTCCATCTTTGGTTTTATTCTTTTCTTTTCTTTTCTTCATTGTTTTCTGTCAGTCTCATCAGGCCCCTTGCTTGAATCACTACCTGTTATAAGTAGATGACCAAATGTTTTTTCACAGAGGTACTTCGTTCTCGTGTTCAGAACTGAAATCTCTCATCTTCCAAAATGGCTTCTCTTTCCCTTTTGCCCTTATCTATTTGAATGGTGTCGCTTTTTTACTCTCATAGAAGTTTGAAATGAGAGAATTATGTCAGATATTCTCCTCATTCTAAGCCAGTATATGTAGTTGCCAAAATGTCTTGAAAATTCCTCCTATGTACCTCTTAAATGGGTTCTTTCTTCACCTTTGCTGCAGCCCTAACCAAGCCTTACCGTATCTTGTCTGGAGTATTAAGGTATTCTCATGAAATTGGTCTGCCTTGCGTTGCTTTTACTTGCCCTGTCACTAATTCATTCTGTTTTATGATCAGGGTTACTCAGACTTCTCCAGGCCAAAAGGAATAATTTTTGCCCCGCCTTCTCTGTGTGCCTGTATTTTCGTACACATTGCAGTTAGACTACTTACACGTTATTGCAAATATTTATTTATATGTTTTTTCTATTTCTAGATTGTATCCCTAGCCTCTAGTCCAGTGGTTAGAAAATAGATATGTTGTAAATGGTTTTTGAGAGAGCGAATGGCTTAATGTTACAAATTTTATAGTGAGAGGATTAGCTGAAATTTTCATTATTTTTAAACTTATATGTTATTTTCTTGGGTATCCATATGTAAGTTAGGAATTCTCACACTGCCTCCTCATGCCCACCCCCCCAACAAATACCTATTAGTTTGTTTGATTTTTCTGATGGGAACTATTTTATCATTTTATGGCCTTTATTTCATTTATGTCTACTTTAGAGAATAGTAAGTAATAAATATCCAAATGTATAAAGTTTGTCTTAACTACTCTAAATATTTGAGTTTACTTTTTTCCTCCAATAATTTAAATGCTATATAATTTAATTATATAATATAAAAATCTATTTTATATAGCATTTTATTTTATTTATAACATTTAAATTTAAAAATTTTATATAGCACTTAATTTTTTTTCAAATAGAAAAAAGGACATATAAAACAGGCATTTTAACATTATTCAGCATTTGAGTAGTAGGCTATTTGCAGCTTCTGCTTTATTTAGAGCATTTGAAAGTAAATATTGTAGTTCTCTAAACTGAATAGGCTTTGAAATACATGTAGAAGAAACTAGGCTTTTGTTTTTGTTTTTGTTTTTTTGAGAAAGAGTCTTGCTCTGTTGCCTAGGCTGGAGTGCAGTGGTGCGATCCCAGCTCACTGCAACCTCCGCCTCCAGGGTCTAAGTGATTCTCCTGTCTCAGCCTCTGGAGTAGCTGGGATTACAAGTGCCCACCACCACGCCTGGCTAAGTTTTGTATTTTTAGTACAGACAGGGTTTCACCATGTTGGCCAGACTGGATTTGAACTCCTGATCTCAAGCAGTCTGCCCGCCTCAGCTTCCCAAAGTGCAAGGATTACAGGCATGAGCCACTGCACCCAGCCAGAAACTAGTCTTATAGTTAAATTACTTAGATTTTTCTTGTTTTTTTTTTTTTTTTATTTAATGCTTTAAAATTATTTGATAAAATACAGAATTCAGTCGGAAGGACATATTAAAAAGATGTTTTATAATCTTTTGACAGTATTGGCAAAGAGTGAATGATTCTTAAACATTTCATTAAGCTGATACATAATAACAGACAAAAATAAAATGTTTATTGTGAATTTCTAGAGTTGGGAGAGATCCCCTAAAAGGGAAATCTTTTAATTTATTGATCTTTCAGTAAATTTAGTCTAATTAAAACATTTACTTAAAATCTGGCCGGGTGCAGGGGCTCATTCCTATAATCCCAGCGCTTTGGGGGGCCAAGGCGGGAGGATTGCTTGAAGCAAGGAGTTTGAGACCAGACTGTGCAACACAGTGAGAACCTATCTCTACAAAAAGTAAAAAAAATTAGCCAGGTCTGGTGGTGTGCACCTGTAGTCCCAGCTACTCAGGAAACTGAGATGGGAGAATTGCTGGGGGCTAAGGCAGGAGGATTGCATGCCCAGGAGTTCGAGGCTGCAGTGAGATCTGATCATGCCACTGCACTCCGGCCAGAGTGGGCAACAGAGTGAGACTCTGTCTCTAAAAACAAAACCTGTTAATTTATTTAAGAAATATTTATTGAGTGCTTAGTGTGTGCCACTACAGCTGGGAATAAGGCAAAGACCCTGCTCTCACTAGAATTTACACTTTGGTTAGGGAGAAGACACAAATCAGAAAATATAAGGTAGTTATTAATGTTCTGAGTAAAATAAATAGGGTTGGTGTACTAGACAGTGCATAAGAAGCTACCTTACACCTTTGTGAGGAGACGGTATTTAAGTTGAGACCTGATTGGTATGAGATAGCCTGGTACCCATCTAGGCAGGACATCATAACGTGTAGACAGAACAGCCAGTACAAAGGCATTGAGGTGGGAGTGGTCCCAGGTTGTGGTTGGAGTACAGAAAGGGGGAAAGTAATAGAAGAATAGGTTGAAGAGATGCGGTAGGTAGGGGCTACATCACAGTGGGCCTTGCCAGCCATGGTAGGAAGTTGGAGGGTGTTAAGGTAGAGGTAACATGATCTTATTTATATTTTTTTAAGGTGGGCCCGGCGTGGTGGCTCACGCCTGTAGTTCTAGCACTTTGGGAGGCCAAGGCGGGTGGATCACCTGAGGTCAGGAGTTAAGACCAGCCCGAGCAACTTGGAGAAACCGTGTCTCTACTAAATACAAAAAATTAGCTGAGCGTGGTGGCACATGCTGGTACTTCCAGCTACCCAGGAGGCTGAGGCAGGAGAATTGCTTGAACCCAGAAGGCAGAGGTTACAGTGAGCTGAGATCGCACCATTGCACTCCAGCCTGGGCAATAAGAGCAAAACTCCATCTCAAAAAAAAAAAAAAAAAAGCAAAAAGAAAGCTGACTGGTTGCTGTGTGTATAATGGATTGTAGGGAGTCGAGAATGGAAGCAGATGGAAGCAGAGAAGAGACTAATTCGTAGCCTTCTGCAGCAGTCTGGAGAAGACATGATGGTGCTAGTGGGAAAGCGATGAGAATTTGCATTTAGGTTGTATGTGGAACTTTGATGAGCAGTGAGATAAAGAGGGTGGGAAAAAGATGGAATTCCCAGAGTTTCAAATGTCAAAATAGTTCCATCACTCTAATATTTAAATAACCAGTTTTTCTTTTAGCTCAGAAATGTATGAGAATTTCACTGGAATGTTTGTCTTAACTGTGTTTTGCAAAAGGATAGTTGAAGGATGAAAAAACTCGAACTTTGTTTTTACTTGCTTTTTGGAAAAGTGTTAAACCATTAAAGTAAGTTTTATAATATTGCGTTATGGATTAGCTTTAAAATAATGCATGGGTGATTAACCACATGTGTTTTCCCTTAGATTAATGTTCTTCAATCAAAAAGGAGATCAGAAATCCTAAAATCAGTAAGATATTAATTGAAATGATGTTTTAAATATTTTAATATGAAACTAAATGTACATATTTAGGTGTTGAAAGAACATCTGCTATGTACATGATAAGGTTTATGATTGCTCTTCTTTTTGATCTTCATCTGTATTTCTTGTGTGGCACTGGACTTCTTTGTCTCCTTTGTGTTCGAGTTATTTGTGTGTCTCGTCTGTTGATACACTGTGAGGTCCATAAAGGGACACTCTCTACTGTTAAACGTTTTTGTTTTCTTTTATCCTAATATGTTGCTTTACAAGAACTAGGTGCCCAGTACCATTTGGTGAATAACTAAAAATGTTTGGTGTAAAAACCTGTGAGAATATTTCAGAATTTGTTTCGAAAGTTATGAACATAAAAAACTGTTACACTTAGGTTTTGAATTTTTTCTTACTTATTTTGCTTTAAAATTTTTTTGCCCAACCTCTTTCAACATATTTACATTTTTCTTTATGATTTTTGGCATTATTTGGACTTTAAAAATATTTGAGATTGAGGATTTATATGAATAGTATCATTTTTGGAGAATTTTTCCCTTAGAGTTGATGGTGGATCATTCTTTTGGTTTGTTCTTTGGTATGCAGTTACAGAACCAGTGGGATGAAATTGGGGGATCACTTTTTTCCCTGAGCCTCTTCACCCCATGACAATGATTTTTTTTTTTTTGCGGTGGGGAGCCGTTTTTTTGGTCTTAAAAGCTAACGAAGGCTGTCTGTGGTGGCCCATGCCTGTAATCCCAGCACTTTGGGAGGCTGAGGCAGGTGGATCACCTGAGGTCAGGAGTTCAAGACCAGCTTGGCCAACATGGTGAAAACCCATCTCAACTAAAAATACAAAAAAATTGGCTGGGTGTGGTGGCGGGCGCGTGTAATCCCAGTTACTTCATGATGCTGAGGGGAATTGCTTGAACCCAGGAGGTGAAGTTTGTAGTGAGCCGAAATCGTGCCATTGCACTCCAGCCTAGGTGACAAGAGCAAACTCTGTCTCAAAAAAAAGCTAACGAAGAAGTGTGCAGGGCATGATATGGTATGGCATATCATATCTTTATATTTTGATAACTTTAGTAATAATCTCTCAACTCTGAATTACTTACTGACTTTTCCCCCAAAAGGCTATATTTAAGTAGCCTTAGATCCTTGTCCCCACCTAGCTTTTTTTCCAAATTGTATGTATATATTTGTGTTATAAATTATCAGGTAAACACATTGTACTTCCTGTTTTTTAAAGGTAATGTTTATACCCCACTTGTTTTCGAGATTGACAGTAATGTGTATTAATTGTAGAAAATTAGAATGTGTATGAAGAAAAATAAAAACGACTTACTAGTTCTGCTACCAAGGGGAAGCCACTATTAATATCACGGCATACATCTTCGTCTTTTTACTCTCTATGTCCGTCCTTGTGTGTGCGTGTGTGTGTGTGTACATAAACTTGAATATATGCCTTTTAAAATCACATTTAATGTTTTAATGGGAATCATTCCTACATACTATTTTATAACTTTCTCTTTTCACTAATACACTGCAAAGTTATATGTCATTAAATATCCTTTATTTAATGATGGCATTTGTGGCCGGGTAGAATTCTACCACCTGAATATCCTAGGGTTTGGATTAAATATCCTTTATTTAATGATGGCGTTTGTGGCTGGGTAGATTCTACCACCTGAATATCCTAGGGTTTGGCACATGTTTTTTGTAAAAGTCCAGGTAGTAAATATGGTGGGTTTTACAGGCCTCATGGTCTCTGTTGGAATTATTCAACTGTGCTATTATAACGAGAAAGACAATATGTAAATGAATGGCCATTGCTGTGTTCCAATAAAACTTTATAAATAAACACAAATTTGAATTTCATGTAATTTTCACATATCATAAATTTCATTTATTTTCATTGTCTTTAAATCATTTAAAGATGTAAAAACCATTCGTAGCTCATGGACTATCAAAAAGGTGGTGAGGCCTAATAAAGTTTGCAGGTCATAGTTTACTGACCTTGAAGGAATATACCATAAATTAATTTCACCTATTAATGGATATTCAAATAATTTCCTTGTTTTTGACATTAAAACATAGCTTTGTCCTCATCATTCTAATGAATAATCCTATTATTTTCTTAGGATAGATTTATAAAGAAGATATTATATAGTCAAAGAATTAAGACTTTAGAAAAATATTGTCAAATTTCAAGAGTTATACAATATTTCTTCTAATATTGTGTGAAAATGGGTTTTCCTCCACATTTTACCAACACTGAGCATTCCAGTTTTTTCCCCCATGCTGCCCCTAGTTTGTTGGATAGAAAGCACGATCTCATTATTCAGTTTTGCATTTTGTTAATACAAATGAGTTTGAACGTTTTTCCGTGTTTTTTGGCCAGTTAGGTACCTCATATGTCGTTTGTCTTTTTTTCTGTTGGAGTGTTCATCTTTTTCATGTTGATTTGCAACATCTCTTACATCTTAAGACTGTTAATTCTTTGTCATGTGTTTTTCCCTAGTTTATCATTTGTCTTTTAATATGCTCGTTTTGCATTTTGATGTACAGGTATATTTTATATTTTTATGTAGTCCTAGCTATTAATCCCATCCCTCTTTTTAAATTGTTAATTAATTTTTAAAAATATCAGTTTTTATTCACAAATTTGTGCAGTGATCACTATTATCTAATTCCAGAATAATTTTCCTCTTCTGAGTTTTGTCCTTTTGCCTCTGTGTTTTAATGGTTTTTTTTTTAAGTAGTTTTTTTTGGAGGATTTTTGAGTATTGAGGACTTTATGACCTATTTTAGACTTCAGAAAATTGAACAGATGCCACTTGTTAAAAATAACATGGATGTTTAGAATATTTTTTCAGTATTCATTTAATTATATAATTCCTTCCATGTAAAAACTTAATTAAAATGAGGGTGATTTTTCTCTTTAAAATAGGTAAAATATGGGAAAACGTGGACAAATCTCTGCTCATTAATGTCAGCTTTTTAGATTTGTGGAATGAATGTAAAGAAAGTTCCATATTGGCAAATTCAGTTGACTCATTTTATTTTGGTATCTTGCGAGAAAAACCAGCATTCTCCTACTTTAGGTTGTGCTTGGTGCTCTAGTAGATTGTAAAGTATTTGTGTTTTATTTTGAGCACTTTATATTTCTCTTATCTTTTTGCCTTTTTTGCAGTTTAAGGTTTGTCAGTGAGCTTGGTTGAAGGAGCACATAAATACTTTATAATGGACCTAGGAAAATAGTAGAGTTATTGAAAATTGGATTATTTGAATCTGCTGTATACATTTTGATCACCTAAATATAGTCTAAACAACTAAAATTTTGAGCATTAAAAAAATTTTAAACCACTGGGAAATTTCTTTTAAATAAAATTTATTTTCATTGTATTTGAAAATATTTTTGAAATACTCTTTTAAAACAGATGACTCAGTTTAATTTTCAAATAGGTTTGATGAACTGGGCACGGTGGCTCATGCCTGTAATCCCAGCACTATTGGAGGTGGAAGTGGGAGGATTGCTGGAACCCAGGAGTTCGAGATCAGCCTGGGTAACATGGCAAGACTGTGTCTCTACAAAAATTAGCTGAGCATAGTGGCACATGCCTGCGGTCCCAGCTACTTAGGAGGCTGAAGTGGGAGAATCACCTGAGCCTGGGAGGTACAGGTTGCAGTGAACTGTGTTTGTGCCACTGCATGCCAGGCCTGGGTGACAGAGCAAGACGCTGTCTTTTTTATATATATAAAATATTTCAGAATGTCTATCTACGAGTAGATTTTAAAATGGTCATCTTTTTTTTTCCCCCTTTAGATGTTGTCATTTATGTATGCCCATTTGGCCTTCTTCCATCAAGGATATGATCTGTTTAGTGAACTTGGACCCTACATGAAGGATCTTGGTGCACAGGTAATGTTGCGGTATATTTCTTGATTCTGTTTTATACACTGGTATTTGTATTTTTGAAGAAATTTAGCATATTGGAGGTGTGTTAGTCTCTTCTCATACTGCTATAAAGAGCTGCCTCAAACTGGGTAATCTAGAAAGGAAAGAGGTTTAATTGACTCACAGTTCTGCATGGCTGGGGAAGCCTCAGGAAACTTACAATGATGGCAGAAGGCAAAGGGAAAGCAAGGCATCTTCTTCACAAGGCAGCAGAGGGGAGAATGAATGCAAGAGAAACTACCAAACACTTATAAAACCATTAGATCTCGTGAGAACTCACTATCACGAGAACCAGCATGGGGGAAAGCCCCTGCATGATTCAGTTCCCTCCTCCTGGTCTCTCTCTTGACACATGAGGATTATGGGGATTATAATTCAAGATGAGATTTTGGGTGAGGACACAGCCAAACCATATCAAGGAGGACTTGATGTTTTATTTATTTAATGAAGAATGAAGTTGGATGCTATAGCAGATTTATATGTGGGTTAATACTCAAATGTTTGCATTTTGGGTATACCCAAAAAATGAAATCAAAGGTAAAAAGAACCTTATGTTATAGTTTGTATATGAAGGTATTGAAAAGGAGAATTTAAAAACAAAGTGTGGCCGGGCGCAGTGGCTCACACCTGTAATCCCAGCACTTTGGGAGGCCAAGGCGGGCGAATCACAAGGTCAGGAAATGGAGACCATCCTGGCTAACACGTTGAAACCCCGTCTCTACTAAAAATAAAAAAAACTTAGCCAGCCTTGGTGGTGGGCGCCTGTAGTCCCAGCTACACAGGAGGCTGAAGCAGGAGAATGGCGTGAACCTGGGAGGCGGAGGTTGCAGTGAGCCGAGATCATGCCACCGCACTCCAGCCTGGGCGACAGAGCAAGACTCCGTCTCAAAAAAAATAAAATAAAATAAAAAATATAAAAACAAAGTGTGTGTTTTGCAGTCTACATAACTGGACTTATTTTTAAATTTCATACATTTGGATAATTGAATTATTGTTCCAATTTGCTTTTCAGTTGAGTTAGAGCTCTTTTTTATTTTCTAAAAACTTGTATCTTGTTATTTGAATAAAAAAATTTTAGAATCTTAAAATTATAGAGCTCTTGGGAACTTTTTCATTTCGTATAGTCACATGTGGCTATCTATGGCTATGTGTAATAGCTCTATACATATACATACAAATTTTATATGTATAAAAATGTCGTTATGTTCAAACTATTTTTTCATATCTGATCATAACGTTATATTAGATCTGTTCGGGGGACTTTGTTTTTTGTTGATGAGCATTCTTTATTTAACACTGTCGATTTTTAGGTGATTTTCTTTCTCAGGATGTTTCAGTTTAGTTTCCAAGAGGAGGGGACTGATGATGAAAAATAGAGTTTAGGCCAGGCACAGTGGCTTATGCCTGTAATCCCAGCACTTTGGGAGGCTGAGGCATGCAGATTACATGAGGCTGGGAGTTTGAGACCAGCCTGGCCAACATGGTGAAACCCCGTCTCTACTAAAAATAAAAAAATTAGCTGGGTGTGGTGGCATATGCCTGTAATCCTAGCTACTCGGGAGGCTGAGGCATGAGGTGGAGTTCTCAGTGAGCCAAGACTGGGTCGTTGTACTCCAGTCTGGGTGACAGAGGGAAACTCTGTCTCAAAAAAAAAAAGGAAAAGAAAAATTGAGTTTAAGGAAAAAGGTAAGAGTGGAATGGGAATTGCATTTACTGACCAGAGTATGTGTGAGTTGTGGTGTGTGTGTGTGTGTGTGTGTGTGTTGAGACAGGGAAGGACATGTAGGGCATATGCCATGGATTACATGTATTCTGTTTTCTGCCTCTACAGAACTTACTCTCTTGGGAGAAGCCAACAAGGCACCACACTCTTAATCTCTGTGCTGAATACCTTGTGTGTGTAACAGTTGGGATGAGGTTTGTTTGCAAAGAATAGAAAACTGAGAATATTAGTAGTTTAAAAAAGAGAGTTTTATTTCTCTTATGTAAAGTTGAAGACATGGTATGGCGGCAACTTGGTTAGCAGGAGTGCAGGCTTCTGTTTTTGGATTCTACCTCAAAGTTCAAAGTGGCTAATCAAGCTTTAGCTAACATACCCAAATTCCAGCTAATACGAAGAAGGAAGGGAGAATGAAAGATACGTTTTTCTCTTTTTAAGCACATTTCCTAGAAATTGTACATATCACTTCTACATACATCCCAATGCCAAGGCCTTAGTCACAGGGTCACAGTAGCTGCAAGGGAAATTAACCTTAATGCCAGGTAGCCACGTGACCTGCTGGAATTTAGGGGTTCCATTGTTAAGGAAGAAGGAGAAAACAGATATTGAGGGACAGCTGGGCTTTTCCACCATATGGGGAAGGGTCAAAGTGTTGCAGGAACATATAGACAGGACATGTAAGCGGACTTGGGGGGAAGGAGAGACCTTCCTAGGTTTTAGACATTCCTCACATACTATCAAATATTAGATTACACTGTCATCTTATATTCAGCATAATTTATAAAAGCAGTGTGAGTTGAATTGCAGTTGGCTAGCTGAAAAAACTATGTATTTTTAAAACATTTAATCATTTTAGTTTTATAGGTCCCCCCCCCCCCCGCCCCAGATCTCAAATAAGTCTGCAGGTCCTTGAAAAACATCTAAGCCCCAGAGCCTGTAGTGCCTGGTCGATAAGATGTCCGGGTTGGAGGTGGCCAATTGCGATATTCTTTTCATAATTAGTAGATACTGGCATCTGCAACTAAGGTCATGGCAGTAGAGATAGAAATGGTTAGATTTGAGGGTTAATATACAGCCCATTCGAGGGTGGAAGGGCGTGATGAGTTCACGCTTAAATATATTGATTTGTGAGGATAAGACGTGTAAGTGGATATTTGTGGAGCTCAAAAGAGGGAAGTAGACTAAATCAGTAGCATATAGTTGCTGATTGCAACCACAAGAGTGGGTGAGTTGATGGGGGGTGAGTTAGATATCTCTGAATCATAGAGCTATTTTTAAAAAAATCTAGTTGCCTAGACACCATACATAAAGATTTTTATTTTGTAAGTTAAGGTTGAGGTCCACTGGTATTGAGTTAAAAAAAAAAAAAAAACTGACTTGGGGCAGGGACCTAAGAAGGACTAAATTTTGAGATGGCTCAGTAAGAGAAGCTGTGCTAGGACGTAGATGAGTGAGGGGGTGGAAAAACAGGAGACTGGCATTGTAGGCCAGGAAAAGTGTTTCAAAGGGAAGGAGTGGTTATCAGCTTCAATTATTAGAAAGTTAAGTAAACCTAGGACTGAGAAATACCTGTTGGATTTAGCAGCAAAAAGTTGTTACCTCTGTGAGAGATGCTGTTTCCATGGCGCTGGGGACCCGGGCAGTAGAAGCTGAATTACAGTGGGTAGATTAATATGGAAGGGGCAAATAGAGAAGGTGGTAGTATTTTAAAGAAGTTGTGTTATGAAGGAAAAAGGGAAAGAATGTGGTAGCTGGAGAAAGAGTATGGGTTAGCGGTTTTATTTTATTTTATTTTTAACTATAACCAATCAAATATTGTGTTTGCTTTATTTCTGTGTCTGGTCTGTAAAAGCCTCCCCATTGCATTCCCTCAGTGGAGCTCAGGAACTGCTTTTGATTTGGAACTTCCTGATTCTTTTTTTTTTCTATTATTATTATTATTATTATTATTATTATTATTATACTTTAAGTTCTAGGATACATGTGCATAACGTGCAGGTTTGTTACATATGTATACTTGTGCCACGTTGGTGTGCTGCACCCATCAACTCCTCAGAACCCATCAACTCGTCATTTACATTAGGTATAACTCCCAATGCAATCCCTCCCCACTCCCAGCGGTTTTATTAAGGTAGAATGATTTGCACCAACTTAAAAGCAGATGGTAGTTCGAGGGAGAAGTTGAAAAGGAGAAAGAGAAGTGATGATATCTGAGGTTGGTGGGAGTGGAAGGGATTTAAAACACAGAAGGACCAGGGATACCTGCTTAGTGATAGGAACCTATTAAAATGGATAATGTCCAGTACTAACACAAACACGGGGCCCTTTTTACTGTGCTCCAAGTTATCTTCCTGATACATTTCCCAGTGTCTAGAAGATAAGACTCTGCCAGTCTTCACATTTCCCCAACTCGTGCCTTTTCCCAAACCCCCACCATCACGAAAGACATTTTTTCTTTATTCTTTTTCCCCATCAGAGAGGGGGAATTGTCCCCACTTTCCTGTTGTAATAGCAATGGGGTTAGGGATGCAAGAGACATTTCTTTTTTCCTTTTTCTTTTTTTTTTTTTTGAGATGGAGGCTTGCTCTGTCGCCCAGGCTGGAGTGCAGTGGCACGATCTCGGCTCACTACAAGCTCCGCCTCCCGGGTTCACACCATTCTCCTGCCTCAGCCTCCCGAGTAGCTGGGACTACAGGCGCCCGCCACCACGCCCGCCTAATTTTTTTTTGTATTTTTAGTAGAGGCGGGGTTTCACTGTGTTAGGCAGGATGGTCTCAGTCTCCTCACCTCGTGATCTGCCCATCTCGGCCTCCCAAAGTGCTGGGATTACAGGCATGAGCCACCGCGCCTGGCTGCAAGAGACATTTCTTACCCATTAGACAGGCAGAAAACCATCACCTACATTGCAGAATTCATATGTAAAGTATATGCGTGCATATTTGTAAATATTTTGAATTTGGGGGCTCCCTTGTGCTGCATTTCAGTCTGAATGAGTAATATTTATATGCCACTCAGAGCCGTAAAAACCATAGGATGGTTAGTCCACTCATTCCGCGTAAGAAATTTGTGTGAGAATATATTTTTCTAGTGCACCATGTATAGCATACCCACTAAATCAATGCTACATGTCACTAAGGTGTGTGTGTATTAGATCCTAGAGTAGTATGGGTGCCAGCTGTATCACGTACTTTATAATAGTGATAGATCTGTTTTATTGTGGGTATTTTTTTGGTTAATCTCTATTACTATTCAGTAATACTATCTGACTAGAATTATTCTTCTGTAGAAGAAAATCATTTGTGATAAAGGATCAAATAGCTTTTTTGAAAGAGACTTTAAAAATTTAGTTTTTAAAAGATACAACTTAAAATGTTTAGACATTTAATGCTTTTTTCCATATTCCTGCTGATCTGATATGTATGTTTTAATTTTTTCATTTATTGAACATGTGTTAATCATTTATGGGTGATGGAGGTTCAGAGTTGGAAAGCATCATCGTAGTCTAGACAATGAAACCCACATAATTAATAATGTATAACCCAATTATTGTTAGTTTAGCAAATATGATTTCAAGAAGCCAGTGCATTTCTTGTGACATATTACCGGAAATTGAATACTTCCCTTATGATGGATATCCTTTCTAATACAAAGGAACAAGAAATAAATGGGTTTTTTATATATGTGTATATTATTTTGGGGGGGGGGATGGAGCCTTGCACTGTCGCCCTGGCTAGTGTGCAGTGGTGTGATCTCAGCCCACTGCAACCTCTGCCTCCTGGGTTCAAGCGATTCTCCTGCCTCAGCCTCCCGAGTAGGTAGGATTATGGGCACCTGCCACCACGCCCAGCTAATTTTTTGTATTTTTAGGGGAGATGGAGTTTCACTATGTTGGCCAGGCTGTTCTTGAACTCCTGACCTCCTGATCCACCCGACTTGGCCTCCCAAAGTGCTGGAATTACAGGCGTGAGCCACTGCGCCCGGCCGGGTTTTATAGTTTTATTAAGTTTTTTGAGCTTTTAAAAATGAGCCTTAAGAATTGCTGATTTCTTACCTTGGTCTTATGAATGATTACTATTCTTTTATTATTTTTAGCTTTCTCTTTTATCTGGTGAATTATTTTTTCTTCTTTTTAGATTTGATTATGACGTTAGGGAGCCAACCTGAAAACATGAAGAAACATCTTGAATGATTGGAAGTAGCTGTTAGAGTGAATTTGTGAGAGCTGGTTTAGCTGGTTGGTACTAGTTTAGCTGCACTACTTTTTGCTACTATGGGAAAGAAGTCACTAGTGTCTTCTTCGTATCTTTGATTTTAACTACCTGAATTTGCTTAGTAGGTCAGCAGGCAGCTTAAGCTAGAGTCATTTTCCTTATTTAAGGATTGAAAGTGTATCACTGGGGTACCTGTGACAAGGCCTCCAATCATGTATGTACAGCACCATGGCTATTCTTGGAAATCTTTTTTCTTCTAATGGAGATATGGGTCTTCTCAAAGAGAACTTGATAGCAGAAAAAAATATGAACTTCTACTTCAAAGTTTAGCCAAAACCTTTTTAAATAAGCTTAAATTGAGTGATTTTTTTATTTATCTGTGAAATGATTTGGAATATGGTTTGAAAAAATAATCCATACTTTTTTTAAGTCTGCAGTTTTCTCTTTTTCCCTTTTTACAGTTGGATCGACTGGTTGTGGATGCAGCAAAGGAGAAAAGAGAAATGGAGCAAAAACATTCCACCATTCAACAAAAGGTACCTCAGGGGAAATTAAAAATTAATTCCGTTTTACACAGTCGCTTGGTTGTTGGTTTATGCAAGGTGTCATTGTATTGGAACACATCTTTGGGTTGTTCTAATAATTAAATTGTGCAGATAAATTCCTCTTCTGTTTTTGAAGAGCGAAATGTTCTTCAGATATTAAGGGACGTATTTTGTTATTTTTTCCAATCTTTGAAAGCTGTGCTCCTTGAATCAGTTTATAAAAATTTAAATCTCTTAGAGCCATAACTAAGCTAAAAGTGGCCTTTAGTTAGAATTTAAAACACTATTCATAATTACATTCGGGATACCACCAACTCCCTGTAAAAGTGCGTCTGTGTGTGTGTTGCGGGGCAGGGCGTGTGGATGCATCTTAGTGTCAACATGCGTGTTTGGCCTTACAGACTTTCCAGCTGCAGTCACTGCAAGGCAGCCTTTCCTCTCTGTGACGAGATGCTAAAGCTTCACCTGCATTGCCTGTTGAATTGCCTAAACCTAGCAAAACTGACTTTGAAAATAATGTTTTTAAAAATGAAAACTCAAATATTAAACCAGTTTTTATTTCTTCATGCTAAAAGAGTTGAGTGTGACATGCCTGCAACTCAACTTTCTTATATCGTCAGTGGTACTTTTTGTGTAGTTATCTGAAAATAAAGGGAGAGTGTTAAAGTTGAATATAGAAATATAAGTATGTACAGGATGCCATCTAGCATTGCTTTAAGAAATCTGTTTTCTTGGTATTGAGCAGTAAAATCAACTTTTTAATGGTTTATTTAGAATTTAAAATACCAGTAAACTAGATCTGATATAGAAGATGTCAGTGAAAAAAGAAAACAAAATCAGTAGTAAAAGTAAGAAAAATTTAATTGATGATGGAGTATTAATGCTCAAAGAAAAATAATTTAAAAAGGAAAGATTTCTACAAGACCACCTTTAAGTTAGTTACTTTCTGGTTAGTGTCAGGTGAGACAAACTCCACGTTTTATTTTGTTTTGTTTAAAGTTAGATTAACTTTTGTTTGGGTAACTTTATTTTAAGTTGACAAATAAAAATTTTACGTAATTAAAGTGTACAGTCTGATGTTTTGATGGGTAACGAGTTTTAATGACATGATCATGAAAAGATTGCTAAAAATTGGGACCAATTGTTTTTAATTAAAATGAGATATCATGGTATTTGTAGGAATATTTGAATATTTCCTTAAATTGAATTATTTAATAAACAGTACACATCTTTTAATATCTTTTCCTATTGTGAACACAGTTCAGTGTTGTGCTGAAGGTTCAAAATGGTAAATTATTAACTCTAAGAATAACTTATTTGATTTTAAATAATATTCAACTGTTTTCCTTTAAAGAAAATAGTGCTGCTTTTTGCTCATTATGAATGCTCACCTCTTTTCTGCCCTTAAATGCTGACACAAGGCTGCATTACAGGTAAAAAAAAAAAAAATCCACTAAAAACTAAGGGAAAGTATGTCTCATGTAGTTATTTAGATTTTTCAAAAATTTAAATTGATCAGTTGGAGAAACAGTGATGCTTTGAACATTCATATGTGGATACGTGCATGCATTTTGCATTTCTGATATATTTATACCTAGGAGTAAAACTGCTGAGTTAGAAGGTGTATTAGCTTTAGTAGATCATTTAGCATAAGCAGATAATGCTACATTGTTTTTCAAAATATTATACTATCTTAGCAGACAGCACTGTATGAAAGTTCCTATTTGCCACCTCATTATATTATGAGACTTTTAGATTTTGGCCGATTTGATCAGTAGATACTGACATCTTCTCGTAGTTTTAACTTCTTTAGTGACTAATGAGCTTAAGCACCTTATCTTGTATCTGTTGGTCTTTTGCGTATGTTACTTGTAAAATGTCTATTAATCTTTCTCTCATTGTTCCACCAGGCTGCCTAACTGTTTGATCAACTTAATAATACATTTGAGGCATATGTGTTTTTAATTTTCATATAGCTTATTTTTATCAGTCTTATGGTTGATGCTTTTTGTGTCTTGTTCAATAAATTCTTTCCATTTCAAGATCATGAAGAGATATATCTTGTACTATAGATTTACTTTTTAGATTATTTTTATTATTATTTTTTTTGGTCCTGTCACCCAGGTGGAGTGCAGTGGCGCGATCTCTGCTCACTGCAATCTCCTCCTCTTGGGTTTAAGTGATTCTTCTGCCTCAGCTTCCCAAGTAGCTGGGATTATAGCTGCGCGTCACCATACCCAGCTAATTTTTGTATTTTTAGTAGAGATGGGATTTCACCTTTTTGGTCAGGATGGTCTTGATCTCCTGACCTCAGGTGATCCATCCACCTCAGCCTCCCAAAGTGCTGGGATTACAGGTGTGAGCCACCGTGCTACTTTTTAGATCTTTAATTGGGTTTTTGTGTGTGGTGTGAGGTAGAGATCGTTTCCTTTAATTCTCCCACTGGTAGTCAGTTGATCCAGACGAGTTATTAAAAAGTTTGCTCTTTCCCAAATGCTCTGTGGTATATCCTGTGTTATATATCACGTATGTGAGGTCCATTTCAGTTTCTCTATTCTGTTTCACTGTCTTTTTGTCTAAACTGTCGATACTATGCTGTCTTAATTATTTTTGGCTTTAGAGTGATTTCTTTAGTGACTAATGGGCATCTTATATTTACTGGTCATTTGGATATCCTATTTGTGAACTATTAGTCTTTTTATCTCATTTTCCCACCAGGTTGCTTAATTGTTGATCAAATGCTTTAAAAAATTTTTTATTTCATTTTTAGTTTTTGGTAGTACATAGCAGGTGGTATTATTTATGGGGTACATGAAATATTTTGATACAGGCATGCAATGCATAATAATCACATCATAGAAAACAGGATATCCATCCCCTCAAGCTTGTATCCTTCTGTTACAAACAATCCTATTATATTCTTTTAATTATTTTTAAATGTACAGTTATTTTGACTGTAGTCACCCTGTTGTGCTATCAAATACTAGGTCTCATTCATTCTCTCTTTTTTTTTTTTTTTAGTATCCATTAACCATCCCCACTCGCCCACACCCCCAGTGCCCACCACACCTCCCAGCCTCTGGTAACCATCCTTCTACTCTCCAGCTCCCTGAGTCCAGTTGTTTTATTTTTTAGATCCCACAAATAAGTGAGAACATGAATGTTTGTCATTCTGTTCCTGGCAAGCAAATTCTTGATATGTAATAGCAAATCTTCCTACCTTTCCTTCTTCAAGCTTCTATGAATCAAAATTGATATGTTTATTTTATTATATCTTTGATTCTATGCGCTTGGTATGTTCTCCATTTATTTAAGTTTTCTTTAATGGCTTTCATAAAGTTTTATGATTTTTCTTGTACATCTTTTGTTAGATTTATTCCTAGATATTTATATTCTAAATGTTATCTTTAAATTTATTTATTTTACCACTGTTCTGTCTGTGATAACATTGATTTTTCTGTGTTGATTTTGTAACCAGTAATCTCTTTTAATATTGATTTATCTCTCAATTATTTTGGATGCTATGTGTATAAAGTCTTATCATCTACCAATAATGATAGTTTTTTCGTTTCTTTCTAATCTTGTACTTTTTTTTGTTGTTTTGCTGGCTATGAGTTTCATCGTGATCTTGAGTGAAAGTGGTAACAGTGGTTTTTCTTGTCTTGTTTGCTATTTTAAAGGGAAGTTTCTATTAGATTCCCCTTTGACCAACCTTGGTTTTACATTCTGTTCCCTGGACCTCACACCAAAACTCAAGTTCTCCTGATAGGCAGATGTCCTTGCTCTCCTTACCTCTTTGAATTCCAGTGCTCACTCAGTCTCTTGCCTTTGAGTATTCCTTCCTGATTTATCAGGTCATCAATGTATTTAAGGAGATTCTAACACTATGTCTTTCGTCCAACATATTTCATTGCTAAAATTATGAAATCTGTCACATTTTAAGTACTACAAAATATTAGTTGATATTAATAGTAATTAAAGTGAAGACAGTTTATCTCAAGAAATATAGTTGAAAATTAGAGAAACACTTATAATACACTGCACTTTCAAGGAAGTCTTTTAAGTTGACCAAAGTTATGAAAAACTGAAGATGTTACAAACGAAACCTTTAGAATGTTAACAAAGTCAATTATATTTATTGCTTACTTAATTCTATCTGTATAATTAAATAAATTATAGCCTCAAATAAATTTTAAATGAGGGAATTAAAGTTTCCCTGATTTTTTTTTCCCCAAAGAAAAAGTAGGAAGAAATGTAGCAAGTCGTTTACAGATTCTGCTTCATTTGATTACTTTGGATTATCATATCTTTTCGTGGTTAATGTTTCAAAGGCGTCAGGAGAGGTTATTATTATTATTTTTTTCTCTTTTAAAGTTCTGAATTTAGTCTGTTTCCTGTTCCTGACTTAGTACTCTCTTCAATTTGGAGGGCCCTTAGATGGTTGTCCTCTGCTCGCCTCCAGGCAGGGCCCCAGCGTCTCCGCAGATGCTGCCACAATGTTTCGCACGACAGGAGGTTTACTGCTCCTTAGTAGGGTAGAATTCTCATTTTCATTATTGGTCCAGGAGGAATTTTAAAAGTTATGGGACTGGCTTTAGAGTTTTAAATTTGCTGAAAACAGCAGTCTTAGAGTTTTACTCAAAATGCTTTGGAAGTTTGTTAGGCAATATTTTAAATATTGAATTTCTGATTTCCAAACTTCATGAATGTTTGGAAGAAAATTGAAAGTTTAAATTGCATTCAGGTGAAGATTTAGATCATTAAGACCCTTGAAGAAGACTATGAGTGATTTCATAGTACTCATAAAAAAGGGAGTTCAACTTGCCCACTTCAAACTGTAGACTAAGATCCATTTCCTTTGAAAACTAAATTTTATTTTAGGAAAAAGTGCCATAGACACTGTCAGATTCAAGAACTACCATACCCAGGCACAATGGCTCATGCCTGTAATCCCTGAACTTTGGGAGGCCGAGGCAGGTGAATCACTTGAGGTCAGGAGTTTGAGCCCAGCATGGCTAACATGGTGAAACCCTGTCTCTACTAAAAATACAAAAATTAGCTGGGCGTGGTGGCGCACGTCTGTAGTAGTCGCAGCTACTCAGGAGGCTAAGGCAGGAGTATCACTTGAACCAGGAGGCGGATGTTGCAGTGAGCTGAGATTGTGCCACTGCATTCCAGCCTGGGCAACAGAGTGAGATTTTGTCTCAAAAAAAAAACAAAAAAACTATCATGGTAGTAATATATTTAGAAAATAGTGGTAACTTTAAATAATCCTGATTAAATATAACCATATACTTTAAAAAAATTGTTAACACATATCACCATAAAATATTGTGATGGACTGGGTGCAGTGGCCCATGCCTGTAATCCCAGCACTTTGGGAGGCTGAGGCAGACAGATCACCTGAGGTCAGGAATTCAAGGCCAGCCTGGCCAACATGGTGAAACCCTGTCTCTACAAAAATACAAAAATTAGCTGGGCATGGTGGCGTATGTCCGTAATTCCAGCTACATGGGAGACTGAGACGGGAGAATCACTTGAACCCGGGAGCAGAGGTTGCAGTGAGCTGAGATCACTTCATTGCACTCCACACTGGGCAGCAGAGCGACACTCTGTCTCAAAAAAGAAAAAAAAAAAGTTGTGATAATTTTAAACATAATAGCCTGTGTAGTATTTAGTTGTTTCCCTTGTTTATTTGTATACATATTATTTTGTGCTTTTAATCACAATGTAGATACAGTTTATATTGATTTATTTTCTGTTTTGCATTATATTCTATACAATTATCTGTCCTTAGGTCATCACAATAAGTATTGCATAAAATAATTCGCTAAAGTCAAATACTTTAATGTATTGAAACATTTATTTATTATTGATCATTTAAGTCTCCCTTCATTTTTCTTATTAATATTGTTGTTGTAACTGTCTTAATATAAACCTTTTCTTCCTTTTGAACTCTTTCCTTAGGATCCATTTCTTGTCTAGGAAACTTAGTCAAGTCATATGAACTTCTTTATATGTTGTTTTGTCTAGGATTTCTCCAGTGATGATTCTAAGTTAGAATATAACGTAGATGCTGCAAATGGCATAGTTATGGAAGGATATCTGTTCAAACGAGCCAGCAATGCCTTCAAAACTTGGAACAGGTAATATATTTCAAATACTGGTCTTGATCTGTACATAGTTTTGATTTTCCGACTTTCTCCGTGATTTGACAGCTCTCTCCTTCGTAATTCTTTAACTTCTGTAAATTCCATAGAAGCTTCCCTGAACCCAGGCTATTGAAGAGAGATGCCCTTTAGAAGCAGGTGAAGAATAACATCATTAATTCTAAATTCTAAAAGTAAGCAAGGATTAAATAAGGAAGCAAGGAAAATTTTGTAATGCTTGGTCTATAGTGGCTGGCTAGCTCATTATAGTAAATCAGTTTTGAATATGGTCTACCTCCTGTATTTGTCATAAAATAAATTTGAGTACAAATTATGAATATGATAGATGAATAGGACAAGTGAGCTTTCTTTTTTGGTTTCTCCTCTATATGATGTTTATGTACATTTTGACTTAGTGTTTGCTTATTGTAGTAGTCCATTTTCTCACTGTTATAGAGATACTATCTGAGACTGGGTAGTTTATAAAGAAAAGAGTTTTAATTGATGCACAATTCTCCATGGCTGGGGAACAGTCATGGCAGAAGGTGAAGGGGAAGGAGGCACCTTCTTCGCAAGGCGGCAGACAGAGAGTGCTCAGGGGAAATTACCACTTTTAAACCATTATATCTTGTGAGAACTCCCTCACTATCATGAGAACAACATGGGGGAAACCACTCCCATGATCCAATCACCTCCCACCAGGTCCCTCTTTCAACATGTGGGGATTACAATTTAAGATGAGATTTGGGTGGGGATACAGAGCCAGACCATATTTCACCCCTGACCTTTCTCAAATCTCATGTCCTTTTCACATGTCAGAATCAAACATGACTTCCCAACAGATCCCCAAAGTCTTACCTCATTCCAGCATTAACTCAAAAGTCCAAGTCCACAGTCTCATCTGAAACAAGGCAAGTCCCTTCCGTCCATGAGCCTGTAAAATAAAAAACCAGTTAGTTACTTCCAAGATACAATGGAGGTACAGGCACTGGGTAAATGTTCCCATTAAAAATGGGAAAATATGACCAAAACAAAGGGGTCACAGGCCCCACACAAGTTGGAAATGCAGCCAGGCAGTCATTAAATCTTAAAGCTCTAAAATCTCCTTTGACTCCATGTCTCACATTCCAGGGCAGGCTATGCAGGGGGTGGGTTCCTATGGCCTTAGGCAACTCCATCTCTGTGGCTCTGCGGGTGTAGCCCTGTGCTGCTTTCAGGGCTGGCATTGAGTGCCTGCGGTGTTTCCAGGTGCATGGTGCAAGCTCTTGGTGGATCTACCTTTCTGGGGTCTGGAGGATGTTGGCCCTCTTCTCAAAGTTCCACTAGGCAGTGCCCCAGTGGGGACTGTATGTGGGGGATCCAACCCCACATTCCCTTCTGCACTGCCTTAGGGGAGGTTCTCCATGAGGGCTCTTCCCCCTGCCGCAGACTACTTCTGCCTGGACCTTCAAGCGTTTCTATATATCCTCTGGATTCTAGTTGGAGGTTCCCAAACCTAAATTCTCATCTTCCATGTATCTATAGGCCTAATACCACGTGGAAGCCACCAATGCTTGGGGCTTGCCCACTCTGAAGCAGTGGCCCGAGCTGTACCTTGGCCTCTTTTAGCCGTGGCTGAAGTTGGAGTGGGTGGGACGCAGGGCACCAAGTCCCAAGGCTGCACAGAGCAGCAGGGTCCTGGACCCTGGCCCACAACTCTGTTTTCCCTCTCGGTCTCTGGATCTGTGATGGAGGGGCTGCCTCAAAGATTTCTTACATGCCCTGGAGACATTTTTCCCATTGTCTTGGATATAAACGTTCAGCTCCTCATTACTTACGCAAATTTTTGCAGCTGGCTTGAATTTCTCCTCAGAAAATGGATTTTCTTTTATACCTCATGGTCAGGCTGCAAATTTTCCAAACTGTTATGCTCTGCTTCCCTTTTAAACTAAGTTCCAATTTCATATCTTCTCTTTGTGAAAGCATATAACGGTATGCTTTCAGGAAAAGCCAAGTCACCTCTTGAATGTTTTCCTGCTTAGAAATTTCTTCTGCCAGATATCCTAAATCATCTCTTTCAAGTTTAAGAACAGATCTCTAGGGCAGGGGCAAAAATGCTGCCAATCTCTTTGCTAAAGTATAGTGAGAGTGACATTTGCTCCAGTTCCCAATAAGTTCTTCATCTCCATCTGAGACCACCTCAGCTTGGACTTCATTGTCCATATCAGTATCAGCATTTTGGTCAAAAGCATTCAACAAGTCTCTTGGAAGTTCCAAACTTTCCCTCATCTTCCTGCCTTCTGAGCTTTCCAAACTGTTCCAACCTCTGCCTGTTACTCATTTCCAAAGTGGCTTCTACATTTTCAGATTATCTTTATAGCAGTATTCCACTCTGCTGGTACCAGTTCTCTGTATTAGTCCATGTTCACACTGCTATAAAAATACTACCTGAGACTGGGTAATTTATAAAGAAAGGAGTTTTAATTGACTCACAGTTCTCCATGGCTGGGGAAGCCTCAGGAAACTTAGAATTATGGCGGAAGGGGAAGCAGGCATCCTCCTCACAAAGGTGGTAGGAGAGAGCGAGCTCAGGGAAACTACCACTTTTAAACTATCAGATCTCCTAAGAACTCCCTCACCATCCCGAGAACAGCGTGGGGAAAACCACCCGCGTGACCCAGTCACCTGCCACCAGATCCTTCCCACGACACGTGGGGATTACAGGTCAAGGTGAGATTTGGGTAGTGACAGAACCAGTCCATATCACTTATGAATCTTTTTTTTCCTGCACTTTGTGAACAAAATGTTTATGAATCTTTAAGCTAGGTGATCCTGATCTTTAGATCTTTGCAATAACTTCAATAAAACAGGAGTTTCAGGAAATGGGAATTTTTTCATATGTGAAGTTGTGGCAGCTGATGCTCCTTTATTGTAAACTTGATGGCTATCAAAAACTTTGAAGGTGTTGCTAAACAAATTTTTATAAAATATAAATCTGTTAAATGTCTGTTAAAAGAATGTGTAAAATATTTCATTGTATTTTCTCATGTAGTAATATACTAAAATGAAATAACTTCAGACATTAAAGCTTCAACTGAAAGACTGGTTGTCGCAGGATCATTCTTCTGGGTATCAGTGATTAATCTTTTATTCAAGGATGCCTCTATTTTTGCCAAAAATAAAAAAGTAGTCAGAATTCTGTAATATGAGTAGTAGTTGGATTCTGGTTGATTTATTATTATTGGTTATAATGTGTTTATTGACCAGAATATGAATTTAATGATAAAGAAGGTTGTTTTTATTTTTAAAAAATGGACGTTAGTAAATATAATTTCCTGGTAAGTTTAACTTTGTGTACATTTTTGTTAAATGGAAAAATTTAATGTTTTATTAAAATGGATTTCTAGTGTAATTATTTTTATGTCTTGGTGTCAAGGTTATATAGAAAAAACATTCACTGGGTGGGCATGGTGGCTCACGCCTGTAATCCCAACACTTCGGGAGGCTGAGGCGGGTGAATCACTTGAGGTCAGGAGTTTGAGACCAGCCTGGCCAACGTGGTGAAGCCCCATCTCTACTAAAAATACAAAAATTAGCCTGGCGTGGTGGTGCATGCCTATAATCCCAGCTACTCGGCAGGCTGAGGCAGGAGAATTGCTTGAACCCAGGAGGCAAAGGCTGCAGTGAGCCGAGATTGCTCCACTGCACTCCAGCCTGGGTGAGACTCTGTCTCAAAAAAACGAAAGCATTCACTGACATTTCTGAATGTCAGTGATTTATTGAGCATTTCCCCAGCATTTGATACTGACGGATGTTTACATGGTAGATGATTTGTTTTATTCAAAATAATTTTTCTGAACCTGAGAGTGAATATAAAAATGGAAAGAAGAATGATTATATTTAATGTTAAACCTGAGTTTAGAGAGCTTTAAAAATAATACATGGGCTGGACGTGGTGGTTCATGCCTGTAATCCCAGCACTTTGGGAGGCTGAGGCGGGTATATCACTTGAGGCCCGGAGTTTGAGACCAGCCTGGCCAACACAGTGAAACCTTGTCTTGACTGAAAATAGAAAAAATTGGCTGGATGTGGTGGCACATGCCTGTAATCCCAGCTATTTGGGAGGCTGAGGCAGGAGAATCGCTTGAACCTAGGAGGCAGAGGTTGTAGTGAGCCAGGATTGTGCTGCTGCACTTCCAATCTGGGCGACACAGTGAGACTCTGTCTCTTAATAAATAAATAAAAATAAGAATAGTACATGAATATAGGAGGACCAACTCAAGTGGTGTGGTTAGAAATAATATTTCTAGCTAAAGTGAAAATGAAAAATTAAAATTACATTTTCTAAGCTCTAAAAAGTAAGACAGTAGTAGTCTTTTAAGCCTTTCCTGATAAATTTCTGTAGCCAGAGTAGAAGTTGGGGGGGGGGGGGGGAAAGCAAAAAAAAACAGCTTGACTGGTGAGTCTTTATAATAAAGATTACTCACCAGTATGTTTTCATGGTATAATGGCAGCATTGAATTTTAGCCTTCAGATTTCAAAACAACCTACTTAGAGTTTAGCAAAGTGAAAATACAGTAAATCCGTAGAAACATACCATTATGTTAAGAAGAAAAGAAATGAACTTCCATGGACTACTCCAATGAGAGATGGTCTCAGACTTCAAAATGAAGCATAGTAAGTGTTAGTGGAATATTGCACTGCCATTTAGGACAGTAGAAGGAAAGTAATTTTGATTTATACATGAACCTTTTCATTATTATTTATTTTCTGAATTACATTGGCATGGATATTAAAATGCAGCTAAAATCAAGTGAGGAATAATGGTTAAATTTTCAATTGTAGACATTACCTCCTATTTACAAAGTGAAAAAACATTGCTTTGGAAATTAGGCTATTTTTAAAGGAGATGCCATCTATCCGTAGTGAAATGGCACTTATTGATTAGAATCATAGACTGTAGAACACCCTTATTTTCAGTAAAGAAATGGAGCTTCAGAGAGGTGGTCACTCTTTCA